ACAGCTTAACTGGTTGGTCTATATTATTTTATTCAAAACTTAAGTTTTACATATAAATTTAGTACCACTAACCATTTTATAGAGAAGTTTTTGGCTTACTTGAGAAATTTTCTTACAAAATAAGCTTTTAGAGAGCCTTATAGGACAAGCTTTTAAAAGATCATACCAAATTATAAATAATAGTGTTAAATTTAAACAAACATAAATTTACATGCGAAATCAAAATATGCTAGTAGACTATTTAAAAGAAAAAATCAACATAGGCTTAAACCTTATAAAGTCTAATTCACCTAAACTCATCTCATTTTTTTTATTTAAAAAAAAAAAGTCATGCGCACATAACCAAAACGAAATCAATTACTCTTAAAAATACTCTTATTTAAAATTTTAAATAATTTGTAAAAATATTCTCAAATAAAAATAAAGAATCACACACACATACACTAAAATTTGCTCCACATATTCTTAGCTTTAGAAAGGAAAAAAAAGTCATCTTCCAAAAATTTAATGGAAGTGGGTAAATTTTATATTTTATATTTTTTTATTTCTTATTTATTGTTATTAAAATAAAATATTTTAATTCTTATTTGTTTATTATGTACTTTTATTTTTTATTATGAAAAAGTATCATATAAAAAGTTATAATTCAATATAATAATTTAATAATGAACGATGTGCAATCCACATATAAAGAAAGAACAAAACATGTTATCTGCTTACATTGAACATAAAATCTTAAAGCTAGTTTGGTGAATATAATAAAATAGAAAATAATAGGACACATGAGTTACGAAAGATAAGATATAATAAGAGAAAGATAAATTTTTGTCTTATAATATATTTAAATAATAAAACTACTCTTTTATCAAGATTAATATAAATTTTTAAAATATTTATTTAAATTTTTTTAATTTTTAATAAAAATATATATTAAAAATTTGAATTGTTTTATTTTAAGAGGGGAAAAAAAAACTATACAATATTTAAAATACTTAAAACTAAAAGACTAAAAACTACATCTCATGAATCATCTATGGTGTAAAAGGAAACTCTAAACAAAAGTGTCAAATGAACTAGTTTGTCAGGTACCAAAATTAATCACGCGAACAATATGGCATACAAATACATGAAAAAAGTTTTGTTTGAGACAACAATATCCAACAAAATATACTTCAACACAAATCAATCTTAGATAAGCAAATCATTAGATATTAGTCAAACTAAACACTTTGACTCATATCTAGATATCCCTATATTTTTAAATAGACCTACTAGAAGTACTTTATTAGCCTATTTAATAAAATTAGGAAGAAAGTTGTTTTATGCAAAACAAAGTCTCTATCTATAGTTAGTAGAAACATTCTTACTCAATCCTCATGAGTGTCCCTTCTTATATTTTACAACCTCAATTATCTGTTTATTTGTGTGTGAGAAACTTAATAAAATGTGTTAAAAATAGTTTTGGAGTTTACTGTAGGCGAGGAAGTGTCACTTAATTTATTAGAATAAAATTTATGCCCCTAAAGAAGGAGGATAAAGTTTTATTGATATTCATAATCTTAGCATTGCCTATGTGATGAAATTGGGCTAGAGATTTCTAAACTCTCCAAATGATTTATAGTCTCAAACTTTTAAGGTGAAATATGTTTCAGATTGGAATTCCAGTAATAATAGGAAAAAAATCAAACAATATTTAATACTTGGAGAGTCATGACTCAAATTTGGCCTATGTTTTACAAGTGTCTTGAGTGAAAAATTAGGGATGGAATGTTAAATAAATGTTCAACAGATAGTTAGGTTCTTGGGAATAAGAATTACTCTTAACCTTTATAATATCTTCTAATAGGTTTGTTAGCATCCTTAAACATGTGGAATTGAGATAAAATTAGGCCTTTAATGTCTCCTCATATTTGTGCATGACTACACCCATAACTATTATTATCTCCTATAAATTTGTGGTTGTGAGTAATGTTATATGATCTTTAATTACTAATGGTGAGTTTTCTATCAAATTTTTCTATATTATGCTCTAAGTAAAGAATAATGCCTTGTTGGTTAGATATTTAATTATTTTAAATTAGATGAAATTGGGATGGACTTTCAAAAATTAAATTATTCTTTTAAAAAATTATTCATGGTAAGTTATTAACAATAAAGAACACAACATACAAATATATTTTATTCAAATTTATGTTCTATGTATAATGTTACACCAAAATCTATCAACCATGTGTCAAGGGAGTCGTCCAGTATAATAATTTAAAAAATTTGGACTACTCAAAACCTTTTTGCTTTCAACCAAAAGTCTATGTCTCCATCTATTCGTGTGTTTCAAAATCTATCATATGCTTTTTATTTGGTCTATTTTTTATAGTGGGTTTGACTCTAGTCTTCTTCATGACTTGCAGAAGTTTGTCAATATTAAATGGTTTACTCTAGCACTAAAATAAAATGGCGGTAGTTTTGTTTTAGTTGAAACATGTACAATAGGTTGTGGGGAGTCTTATTCAAGGAACAAAAGACAATTTTGTAATTGGATTTATGTGTAAAGTGAGATCATGTTCTCTCATTGATGTTAAACTTTATGTCATCTTTTTTGGTTTACATTTAATTAAGGATTTGTTTAGAAGTTGTTTTTGGAGGAAGGGGAGGAAAAGAGAGGAAAATAGAAGACTCCCATGGTGGTTATTCTTGTTTGGAAGTTTTCAAATGAGTAGGGAAGAGTTTATAAAATTTCTAAAACTCTCTTAATCCTATATTTTTAAGTTCCCCTAATTTAGAGTGTTTTGTATTAATCCTTCCTCCTCCTCTCTTACCCTTCAAACACTTTTCTCTCCTCTCCTTTCCTTCTAAACTCTCAAATAAAGTTTAAGGTTAGAGACTTTCTAAATGCTAGTTTGGAAGTTAATTTTAAAGAGGCTTTTCAAATAATTTCAGCTATCCCTGAATATAATGGTTGCTATTCTTATTTAGTTTTTTTTTATGAAACTGTTAATATAAAAAATAGGTTATGTCTATTGTATTTATATAGTTTTTTTTATGAAACTAACCATTATGTAGACTTGTTAGCTAATGTAGTTTTTATAAGAAACCTTTTAATTGTAATATTTTAAATAAATTTTTTCTAATCTTAATTTCTCATCTTAAGTAAGGTGTTTTAATAATGGACCTTCTTAAGTTTTATACTTAGTTTGTTTTCTCTTAGGATATAAGTTTCATTGATTAGCAAAAAAAAATAAAAATAATAATAATAAAATATATTATCTATATTTTAAAAAGCTTTTTCATTTAATTTCTTTTAAAAAAATTATTTTTTTATATTGATTTTCTTTTTGCACAAGAACTTATCTAAATTAGATTTAAATAAAAAAAACTGATTTAATTTATTAGATTAAAAAATTACTCATAAATAAATAAATCACTGTATATGAAACGATAAACTACAAACATTAGTGACTTTTAATTTAAATTATAGGTATCCTTCGTAAAATAGACTTTACTTAATGGAAAAATAAACATATATTGGTTGAATCAATCCTTGTTGGTATAAACACTTGTGATTCAACAAGAAAAAATAATTTAATTTTTTGCTATATATATATATGTATATAATTAAAATATTTATAAATATATAATTTAAGGGTATATATTTATTTATATTTTAAATAAAATATTATATATTGAAAGAAGGTAAATTGATGAAATATGGATTGATTTTCAACTTGTATAATTTTTTTTGTAGAATCAATTTAATTTATAGAAAAATTTAAATTTAATTACTAAATTAATAATATTTACTAAATTCGATATAAAAATGATTCAATCTAAAATACTTACTTATTGTGAGAATGACAATAATGAATTTACAGCATTAAATTTAATTTAAATGATTATATTAAAAGAAAAATATATAACTTATTTAAATTATTATGAGATCATTCAATTTCTTTAAATTAAAGACTCATGTATTATTATACGAGAATGAGAGACATAAATCTAGTTTATACAAAACTATATAAACATACATATTATTATAATTATGAGATTTAAAAAGTTACATAATTATTTTTAAAAAAAATGATGTAACTTTTTTTAAAAAGTTATATAATTTATATATTTTAATTCTGAGAGTGCGTGAAGATGTAATAATCAAAATTTATATATTTATTCAAAATCATCTCCCTAAGTAGGTTGCATCATTATCTGTTGCCTTTTAAAATAACAATAACAGGTCCAAAGAATAAGATGCGATAATAATTAATAACGGTGTCCCTTTTTCTCTTTTAGGAAGTTCTAATAAAAAAAGCAATCGTTGATGCATTATTGGGAGTTTCATCGATCTATATCTCGGAAACGTAAACACTTGATCGGATCAGATAGAGAATTCCATGATCTTGGATAAGCTTAACATAACAACTGAACAAGTTGGTGAATAGGAAATGATATACTAAGTTAGTAAGGGGAAATGTTTTACGTACCAAAATATGAAAAAGGAGATGCAGTGCAATTCAACTTTCTGGTAAAGAGGCTCTAACAAAGAATTAAGAATAAAATAGGAATGCATATATTTTTTGTTTTAATTTTAAAAAACTATCTCTATATTTTATAATTTTAACTTTTTATTTTATTGATATAGTTAAATTAACTGTCATGTATCAATTTTTACTAAATCTACGTCATTAAGTAATATTAATAACGTGAAAATCAAAACGAAAACGAAGGTTTGGACGAACTATATATATAACAAAAAAGTTACAAAAATGCAACAATTTAAACCAACAAAATATTATTGCACATTGATTAACAGTTAAAACTTTTCGTATAATTAACGATAGCAAAACACTTTCTAACTATGAATATTAACCAAAACGATGTCGTGCTTCAACTTAACATGGCTAATATAGTTGCCCACACTAGCACAAAGCACTAAAGGTGTGCAAATTACGCAGTGATTCGTTGATCACAAGTTGAGCCAGATTTATGTAATTTTGATTTCTTTGTTATTTACCATTTGGTATGATAATTGGCAACTGTTGTATTTCTGTCTCCTTTATTGTTGTGGTTGATGGTAACGTGTGATCTTCATGGTCTTTGCCTTTTCCCCACACCACAGAGTAGAGACCCACTGCGATAATGATCCCTCCAATGATACTGATATCAATTATACAGACACGCAGAGAGCATTATCAGAAAATCTACGAGATATATATAAACAAGCTATATACACATATATGAAGATCATTAACAATGGGTCCATGTTTACTCTTATTTTGTTTTTTAAAATTATTATGAGAGACAATTTTGTTCAAGACAAAAAATATATATTTACAGTATGGTATGGTTAGTTTTCTTATCCATTTTTTCGGCATGTAGAATATCTAAATTGGAGACTTTAATTAAGAAAGAAATTAAGTATATAACCCTTGTTTTTAATTTGAAAAAACTATGTGAGTATCATAAATATATAACCATATTTAATATTTTAAACACATGATTTAGTACTAGTTTAAACTAGTTTATTTTATGATTAAAAAATTTATAATCAAAATATCTAAAACAAATTATTTGACTTTCAAAAACTAAATAATGTAAAATTAAACAAAAATTAGCATATACACACTGGTATATTTACTGTGAAAAGCTTTAAGATCTGTGGATAACAGATGAAATGAAAGATACAGCCAGAATTCTGAAAAAAAAAAGTACTATTGCAGGATTTGGGTTGTTAAGCTCTTGCAGAATTTCATTAAGAAAGTGTCTCTGCCTTTTTTGTAAATTTAATTCATTGTTAGTTGAGAAAATAAATATTGGAATCGCTTTTCTTGTGGGTGTCATATAGGCAGTGTTGCTTTGTTGAAATTCCAAAATAATTGTTGCAAATGGAATTTTATATAGTGGGTTTGTTTGGTTATGTTTTTTTCTTGGTCACTCTTTTTTTATTTATTATTTGTGAATTAAAGCAATAAAGTGAGCAACTATACAGGATTGGGCCCATAGCAATAGAATTGCAAGATTACCTTCCCAAGTAAAGATATTCTCCTAAAAGGAAGGAGCCCAAAGCAGTAACAATAATCATGCACAGAGGATTAAAGGATGTTACAAAGACTGGGCCTCTGCTTTGCATGACCAATCCTTGTATATAATATGCTATTCCTGAACTCATTATTCCCTGCAATTTTGAAATTTATTATTAAAAAAAATTCTAAGATTTCTAATATTGCATAATAAATATATTATTAGTTTCCTCTTTCCAATATATTCTTTGTTATCAATTAAAGTTTATTAAAAACTACTATAACTCAAGTAGATAAGTTTTCCAATAAAAATTTATAATAAAAAAATATATTTTTTTCATCAGTTCTTAAAAAAGTTATGTAAACAAATAAGCTTTCAACAAAGTTAATGTAGATAAATTGGTTTTACCTTATAAAAAAATTGATTTATTTTATCTTACTATAAGTTTTTATTGTGAAAGTTTAGCTAAAGTGAACCTAAATTACGTGATTCATACATTTTTATTAGTAAGCCTCATATAATTTCATAAAGGACAAGATTTAGCTGCAATATCGTAGGTATTTTAGATATTATTAGCCAATCAAAATTAAAATACGCGTAAGCCAATATATATTTACCAACAGTGTGTCGAAAAGACTGTATTTTCCTTTGGATAACTAGCATCCCTTGCAACCATAAACATGCATATTAATATAAATTACAGATTCAAGAAGAAAGCATAATGTAATACTAACAGTGTAGAGAGGGCCATAGAGTCTGTAGTCTAAACCGATAGCCCATGTCCGAGGGTTATGATCTGCGATCAGCGCCACCACAGCACTTTGCAATGCACCCATCAAGCATATCAACGATGATAGTGATAGTTCCGCAGGGTACCTTTTCACTGTTATGGACTGTAGATACACATCCACAATTTCATTGCACATTAGAGCAGAACAATGTTCTCTCACATATCTCATAGATTTGATAAACTTGAATAGGTTATAAACTTAATTAATATGTTTGTAGTTTTCTTTTAACAAAATTTTAGTTTTAATCCCTCCAAACCAAGCCAATAAAAAATTGTTATCTGGTTTTAGTTAGACAAGTTAGTGAAAAAGACAAAATAAAAATATACTAAAAAAATTGTTAGGTGAAATTAAAACAAAAAATTCATTAAAAATTATAGAGATGAAAAATATATTCAAGTCTAAATTATATTAATGCATAATTACCTGCAATATGTAGAAAGAAGACCAAGCTAGACAACCCAAGCATATAAATAGAGTTCCAGTGAGCCAGTGAGTGTGACTCTGAGGGGAGTGACTCCCATCTTGATGGTGGGTTGTGTTTGGATGATGAAATAGGTGAATTTGAGGGCCTTTGTAAAGTGTCATTAACAAAGCCCCAGCAAAGGTTACCAATGTTCCAGCCACTTTTGCTTGACTGCGTAATTCCTTGATGTTTACTCGCTCTAACCTGACATAATACAAAGTTGTAAATTAGGATTTCATATTAGAGATTACTACCCATACTCTTTGTTCATTAAGGTTGTAAGTACAGGTCATTATTAATTAATTTATTTATTAAGAAATAAAAGGTACTTTTGGATAAGCAAAAGTATAAATATGATTTGAGAAGAAACGAGATGAAAGAAAAGCACTAGAAGTGTTATTAGAAATAAAATAAAATAAAATAAAATAAAAATAAACATATTTTCAATAAATAGAATTTCACCTGAGAATTAATGCAAGCACAAAAGTTACAGAGGGTACGGCGTTCATAATAGCAGAAGTAAATGAAGCCGAAGTGTATTGCATCCCCAAGAAAGTGAAGCCTTGGTCAACCACCGGTCTAAAATACGAAAATAAAAGACACATTATTAACATGCACAAAAATTGCCATCTTTATGACTAGAAAACATAAAATTGATCATTATCTTAATTTATTAATGTGAATGATTAAACCTATGTTAGGTGCTTGATTAACATTATTGCTTATTTTTTATGAGCTTTATCAAAAAGATGATAAAATATACAATTTTTTTTCAAAATAAGTTAAATTAAAAATTCATTAAGAATGATTTAGTTTTTTCATTAAAAAATTACTTTCATTTTGAAAACAATCACTTTAAAATTTTGGCAAATTTTTTAAATTTAAAATTTAAAAATGAAAAATCTAAAAATAATAATTTATAATTGTTTTGATAAAGTACTTTAAATAGCTTCTAAAAGAAACTTGTAAGTATAAATAAAACGAATAAATTTTAAATTAAAAATAAATTATAAAAATATTAAATTTAAAAATAAATGTTTCATATAAAAAAACCACTTGATATGTTTAAAAAGAGAATTAAATTTTAAAATTCATTTTCTTTTAAAAAAATCCATAAAAAAACGTTTTAATTTAAGAATTCATAAAAGTTCATTTTCCTATAAGCTCTCCAACTTTTTTTACTCCCGTAATCACGGTTCCTTTTAATTTATCAATAAAGTTTACTAACCCCATTCCATCCATCAACCTTTTTGTCTAGTAATGAAAAGCAGATTAAGTGGATTATCTATGTGAATTTTAACAATTATTCAAACAAATTTTATTTATACTCTTGAAAAACAGAGTATAGAGGAAAGATGTTTCAAACAGGAAAAAGACAGTGACAAAATAAATCAGGTTATTCTTAAGATAAAGAAATAAAATTTAACCTATAGGTAGATTCATATAGATATATATTATGATATTGTTTTCATATGAAAATATTTAGTTATATATAAATAGTATATGCTGTACATAATTACTAAATTGTTACCAAACCGTTGGGTAATTGAAATAACTATAGTTGAGATGGTGACTTATGTAAATGGGTCAAAAGTGAATGGAATTTTCTCCATTTTCTTGAGTATGTTACATATCATGTGAAAATTAATAGATAGGCTTCAGATAATTACTCAAGAAATCCAAGGGCTAGTATCTGCGCGAAGACAGAGAATGTCATCTTTGGCCGAACTTTCCTGCAAAATTGTAAGGAGTAAGGTAACTAATTAAACAAATCAACACATTTAATGACAGACATTAGCTATGTGCACAAAAGAGTAGCCCCGTGCAATTTTTTTCAAAGAAGCAAGTGCATCAGTAATTAATTATATAACATTTAACATTATCAATATTGCATTAAACTTCGTTTGAAAAAACTAATAATTATGGCAAAATGAATCGCACCTTTCAAAGAAGAGTGCAAAGGGGGCAAGGGCTAATGCAGCAATGGCATTGCGATAGACAATGAACACCAAACGACTCATTCCATGATTCAAACTGGCCATGGTGAAGATGTATGTTCCTGCCATACCAAATTGCAACCCCAAAGTTAACACATAAGGCTTGGCCTTATTGACCATATTGCCAAATTTGGCACCCCATATTTCTTCCATATTTTAATGAATGTTGCAATTTGGGTAAAAAGAATTGAAGAGGCTATGCTATCAATTGCATGAAATGGCCTTCCTTATATATAACACGAAGAGGCAGATTATGACAAAACAAAACCCACTACGCAGAACAAGTAGATAAGTGCCTTAGAGCACAGTTTAAAGTTCTCTCTTTAATTGAGGTCATTCCCATCCAACTTCTCATCCATGTCAAGTTCCACCCACCACTAAAAGGAAAAGATATATTGTTTAGTGGACTATCCCTTAGACTTGCTAACTTGATCACCAACTTGATCAATTGTTATGAGTCAGAATACACTTTGGCAGCAGAAACATAAATAGCCAACAGTTTTTACCTTCTGCATTAGTATCGTATTTTTTAACCTTCTGCATTAGTACCCTGATCAAACATTTTTAACGTTTTCATGTTTTTGCATGCTTTGTCAACAATTCTTCAAATTTCAACGTTTTCAAGTTTTTGCATGCATCGTCAATAATACAATAACATATGCGTGTATATGTACGTATCTGTATGTGTGCATGCATTATTTAATGAGAAAAGCTAAATAAGATTACGTGACTTTTTAAAAATCTCACATGACTCATTTATTTTATTTTATTTATCATTTTCTTATGAAATTTAACGATTTAAATTTATTCCTCTCACTTAAAATAAAAAGTTCATGTCACTGTATGTATAGTTTGTCATTATATCATTGGTATCGTGTTATGTTCAAACTCTCGAAATTGAGCTGTGGGTACAAGTTATCTCTAGCGGTATCATGATACACAATCTATGGGAACCATTATTTTGATTTGAGTTTTCTTTTAATTGTAGCCACGTACCATTTGCCATGCGTATCATAATCACAAGTGGAGCTCATATTAAACACTTTCATCCGTGTGCGTGTGTATATAAATATATATAACACTGCATGAGGTCACCAATCATTAAAAGAGTTAATTAGACTTGTGTTGTAAAAATTAGAGAAATTCGTTAGCTTGTTAAGTGTTAAGCAAGCAACAGAGCAGGAGAGAGAGAAAGAGAATTGTAGGGCACCACGCAGTAGGTTCGTAGCATTTTTCAAGCCATCCAACTGTTGGATACAGTACAACTCTATCCTAACTGTTAAAATGCAAACTATAACTTAGGTTAAAAGTAATTAGATTTGAAAAAAAATTTAATTAAATAACAAAAGTATAACGTCAGTACGTTAATAATAAATTAAAATATGTATTAAAACATTTTAAATATACGAGCAACTTAAACTTAAGTTTTAACTTTTTATACATTCTTAGATCATACTTACGTTCAAATTATAATACCAACATCAATTACGGTGAAGCTAATAGCATTTGCTGCATGCATCTCACTAGCTAATACACGAGGACAACATAATTTTGTATATACAAATTATACAATTTTCTTTATAGATATGCATTGTATGAATTTGGGTTGTTGTCGACGTCAGTGTTCATGTACATGCACTGCATCGTGCAAATTAAATGCTTTTAATTTATAAATTATTTGTGTCTCTCTATTTGTCTATTTATCTATTTATTTATAATATTAAAATATTTATTATAGTTATCCCCTGAAATTTCTTTCTAAATTTTCAATTTTTAAAAAAATTAATATATAACTTGATTTATTTATTTTTTGAAATTTTCATTCATCTTGTATATGTTTTCTTCGGATTGCGTCTTTCTAGTCTTTCGTGTTTTTTTTTTTTTGGTTACTAACCTTAAAATTCATTATACCAAGAAAATAAAACAAAAAAAAATTAAAATAATATGTGTGAAAGATCAAAATATAATATATTTTTTATTTTTCTATTTAAGATTTATATGTATAATAAGATATTTGTTTTACAACTTATTACAAATTAATGTAATTTTTAAAAAAATTATTTTTTTACATTATTGTAAGTCTATAAAATCTCTTATACTATATCTGAACTTTTCATTTAATTTACATCTAATATTAATGAAGTAATAAATTATAACATATTAAATATAAGTTAAATGAAATATTCAGATTATGTATAAAAAAATTTAGACTATACTAATATAAGAAGATTATGTCCCTACTTTTAATTTCTATTTCTTCAAAATATTATAAAAAATATAACTATACAAGATTTTAAAACTTAAAATTGGGATGCTTAGAAATGTGAAAACTCAAGAAATGTATAATGAAATAAATTAATTAATAAAAATATTTTAAATTATTATGCGGCAACTTTAATAGAACATTAGTATCATGCATAAAATTTATACTGAGACAATTTTAGTGTGCTAAATACTTATAGTCAACTATCTTGGACCGACAATGGTCTCTTACATGAATTGGACAGCCTCTTGATTTGAGATCCGTTAATAAACAGTGGTCTACGACTCTACTTACTCAATGTTGCATACACACTCACGTCATAGGATCATAATCAAAGAGTCATGCTTTCCACCTTAGGGTCCAAAGACTTTTGCTGTGAAACCATGCAAGATGACACTGTGTAGGCTCACTACTATATTTTGGTTATGCATCACCTGCATCCCAGCCTTATATATAATCAAACATCATTATATGAGATAAGTGATGTCCTATGGCGATACTGGTGTGACCTCATTATTAACATTGTTTAGTTCTAATTTCTTACTGATTGTGAAAATATTTTCTTTCTTTGAAATCTAACAAGTTAAAATTTATTTTTAATATTGATTTATTAACTCTTATGTTCCAAATGAAACAATTCCACTATTTTATTTTTTTTTCATAATTTCAACTATCGTAACGTTATATATTTTCAAATTCCTATACACCTGACAAAGTTTATGATTTCCATAACCACGTTTTTCTCATAGAAAATATATGAATACTTCCGTACTTACATATGATTTAGAATGAGTGTTATTTTCTTCCACTTGATCAACTAAGGAGTTAACTTCACAAGTACTTATTAACAACATGAAACATAAATAGGACTTATTCGTTTGCATAGAAAATATTAAGTTGTATGAATTATATAGTTTATTCATAAAACTAAGAGGTTAATTAAATTACTAAATAACTCACACACACATAAAATTCGAAGTTCATCCTAAGGAAAGTTAACATCAAATAAAACAACCAAATTGAAAATTAACAAAAGATGACATACTCAACTAGAAAACAAGTAACACCACGTACACTTAAAACGAACAATTAGCTATTCCACTAACATCATCAAGTGGAGTTTACAAATAAATGGGGAAGTAATATCTAATGGGAATCAGAACAATCATTATAGTCTCGATCAAAGCTCTAGGAGTCAACATATCTCATGAACTTTTCAGTGTTGGCAAGTCCAACTTCGTTTTTGAAGAAGGTGAGATAGTGGAGACATAAAGTAGACTTCCAAGGGGTCATTTTGATACAGGGTCCAGAAGGACGTTGATTTACATTAGGTTCGAATTCTATCTTCATGGTGTTGGAGTTATCCAACTTATATCTTGATGAGGAAGAGACCTACGACTATACATATTAGTGGTTATAGAAAAGGGGATCGAGATCGAGATTTTAACTAAACTCTCTGTGTGGCCGGCAAAACTAACTTCATATACATCCAAAAAGTACCTCATCTTCCATAAGTACACCTATAGTCAAATATGTGATGAATCTATTCTCCTTCACCTTCCAATTAATTCCATTTCAATCTCAATCATAGAAAGGGGCATCAGCATCTTAATAATCTAAAAATATTAATTCAAAAGGACATATCTAACCACTAAAAATTATACATAAGAGGAAGTGAGATGTCAAATATGTTTGCAAATAACAATATATGAAAACTAAATAGACAAAATTAAAAACAGCACATATCCCATCCACAGTAGTCATAGAGAATGAGCATCACATTAATGTATGACCATGCCACAGGATACAATGCAACTTTATAGTTTTTTTCAAATCAAATCATTTCATCTCATGCATGACTCGGATACAAAATTCTTATCCTTAGAAAGTTGTTTGAAATTTTACTTACAAACTTATTAAGTACTAAAATTATATTGTATATATTGCAACTAGCTCCGCCAACATAATAACACATTGGAATTGTCAAAGTTTATTAAGTATCATACAAAGAACACTTGACTGAATCTAGACTAATGGTTTTAGCCCTATCATTGAGAGTCTCAAACTGTATAAATTACTATAGGTCTTTATAGTCATCTCTAAGTTTCACTTTCAGTTCCTACATTTTCTTTGTAATAATGTAGTTACTTCCTTTCTTAAAATAGAATAGAGGCACACATATCACGTCTCAATAATTTATAGGTATTTATCATGACCTCTAGTCATGATATAATCTTTTTGGCCTCTTACTTCTTAGGATATCACACTCCACATATATCATCATTCAACAACAAGTATATATCATTTTACATTAGACTTTATGGTGGATACTCAATTACCCTTAATTTTCATTACCCTTTTCTCATAAATCAAGATTCAAATCCAAATGTCAAAGGATCACAAAGACTTACATATTTTGGTATTAGACACTTCGAAACATTTTAAGAAAAGGAAAATAATACAAAAACAATAGATAGACTCACCAATTTCACATATGTATAAATGTCAATCCAAATTAACTTACATATATTTATCCTTTCACAAGTTTCATTTGCCTTTCATGAGCTTTATTCCATGCATAGAAATGTCTCTAACCATTATCACATAAGCTTATGCATGTTTTTAATTCATGTGCATGATCACCAAGTTCACGAAATTGCCAAATTATAACATTTCAAAATCAACTAAGTCAAATACAATACACAATCATATGCTCAAAATCCATTTCTTAATTAAAAAACACCAAAGTCCCAAAGGCAACATACGCGTGGATAACTTCTCAAAGTCAACTGCAGCTTCAAGTTTGTTCAACAACATAATTTCATTAAGTCCCACAACTCAAATACAATTGTAAATTCTAGCTTGCACACACATAGATATAACTTAGTCAAAATCAAACATTTAAACACAACCTCAAACCCAAGCTTGTCTTTAATAAGGTATAAAAATAATATAAAAAATCACTTGAGTTCTAGAATACAATTATAGCAATATGACTACATAAAGTTCATACATATGTTTTCTAGAACATGTCAGCTAGACATAAGGGATAAGAAAAATCTCATTTCAACTATTTTCTTAATTTCTTACCTATTATTTAAAATATCTCCTACCCTTACTTTGGTTAAGGTTCCAACTAGGGCTTGGCAAGATTTGAATTACTAATTGAAATTATAGTAACTAAAGTAAAAAAAAGCACTATTCGAATGAGTCAATTCGGGTGCAGGTTAAACCAAGTGAAAGGTGCAGTTAAGAACAAGTTTAAGCAGTTAAGTGCGGGTTCACATTTTAATCATTATTGATACTCAACACATTTAACAACTGTTGCTTGATGGAAAGAAATTCAAAACTACATGAAGATGATAGAGCCAAACCGCCTAAACCCACCGGCAAAATTTGAAAAATTCCCAACTGGAGCCCGCACAACCCGATGAGCTTGGGGTCTAAATCAGTACTCTATTGATATATTATAGTTATCACTTTAGATTGGTTCTTGGTTTCAACACCCAAACCCAACCACAATCGATTGAAACCCACCCATAGTTCCAACCAACTATAAATAAAGTGTCCAAAGTTTCAAAATGTATCTTTTTCACATTAAAACATATATATTATTGGTGTAAAAAATCATATCCATGGAAAAGACGACAAACATGCATGGAGAGAGGAAATACAAAAGCAAGAACTCTACTTCCTAATGAACAAAAAGTCTATGAAATGGACTACAATGAGTAGGATGTAATGAAAAGGTTAATCAGTCTAGATTACAAAACTGTCATTGCATGTCACATGCATTGAGAATCCATGGAGAAAAATTTAAAAACAATCATGATTCTTGGAGAGAGAGTTGAAAGTCTAAGGGGGGCAAATGGAAGGATCTTCGTAGCTTACCTTAATTGCATGCACCAGTAGTCAAGTGTGAGGAATGATTTCTAGACTTCCGAGTTTGCAAAAGAGTGGAAAACAAGCTCCAATCTTTTGTAGATCTTTAAGAGAGAAAGCTTTCAAAGGTCTCCAATAACTTGATAGTGTGAGGGGTCAGTTTTCTTTTTCTTTGAAACAAGAGATTTGATGTTTCATCTTGCTCTTACTAAGATGAATAGGTACAAGGGAAGAAGAAATGACTGAAATACATTTACAATTTTTTTTCTAAATAATTAACTGTATAAAATTCTTTGTCAATATATATTTAACTATAATATGAATTAAATTATAATCTATGACAAAATAAATAATTTTTATAATATCATCTAATTATAAATTATTGTATTATTAAGAATTATTAATGGTTATTATAATTACTTTAAAAGTCATATATGCAATATTTTCGATTGATGTTTGAACATTTTCTACAATGATAGTATATCAAATAAAAAATTATAAAAAATACTATTTATATGAATCATTTATAATAAATTGAAAATTAATAAAAAATTATTTCTTAACATAACTTTTATATTTTTTTTTCTTATAAGAACAAACCCATGTAATATACAGATATTTTATTGGGTAAACTAAATTTTATTTAGAACCAAATTATTAATGATTAAATAGGAAAATCAATAAATTGAATGAAGTGAGTTTTTTCGTTATGCTCGAGATAATCTAATTCACAAACGCTCACAAAGTAAAAAAGGATAATGACAAACAACTCGCAACGTACTAAAGGGAAAATAGATTTGCGAAGTACAAGAGTTAAACAATTTGACTTCACTTGAAATTTGAAAACCGTACGGTGACCTTGTTTAGAAGAAATATTAAATATTATGTCGTTTTGGCATCGATCACATAGGGTATGGAATATAGTCACATCAATTATTAAAGGTGTGGTAGCCCATTGTATACCTCAGCAATTAGATCAGAGAGGAAAAGAGTGTGAAAAACACTGATGCAAATTAAAGAACTGAAAAGAGGGAGGATTGCAAAATAATGGGAAGAAGATAAAAAAGGAATCTGAATTTATAGGTGTTTGTCTTTTTTTTATTTGGATTGATAGAGTTTAATGATTATCCGATTTGATTATTTATAAAAATTTATTGTTCAATTTAAATTGGCTTAATAATGATGTTAAATTTAAATTAACTCAATATAACTTTTTTGTTATTTAAAATAGATAATATTTTTAATTTTTATTTATTTGAGAAATAATATTTTATTTTTAATAAATAAATAAAGTTTAATTAATTAAAGTAAGAGTAGAATCTCAAATCAATATATGAATTCTCTTTTACAGCTAATTTTTTTTTTAAAAAAAAACTTATTAAAGAAAAATTTAAGTATATAATAAATATAAAAAAAAATATTCAAAATATTTGTCACATTATAAATAAAAATTTAATCTAAATTGTAAGTTGCAAATTTAAAACAATTTTTCTAAGAGTGAAATACGTGTTCATAACTTATAGTTTAGTTTGAGTTCGAACAAAAAAATATTAAAAATCATACCAAATCGAATAAAATATTAAATTATTTTAGTTTAATTTTAAATTTTTTTAAATCAATTTAACAAACTAAAATAATTTAGATAAATTTTTAAGCAACATATATCTGATCATCATCATACAAGCACTGACCTGCAGAAATGAACAAATCAGTAACCTTTTGCATTATTGTAGTCAAGACATCTGGTCAAGCGAAATGCCACTGTTCATTCTTTTCATCTGATTAAAAGTTCTTTGCTTTTTAATATTCGTTAATCGCTCTTGTCCTCTACCAAATACTAAAAATAAAAAGGGAAATAATATCATGGTTGCTTCCAACTATAATATATTTTAACATTTATTTTCTTGGCACCCATTATGAAGGATATTCACACACGAAAATATTGGTTACACGTTATTAAAAGCATGAAGAAAGACGTTTGCTTGATTCACTATTCAAAGGGTCGTAGTTGTGAGGGAAAAGGGGAAAGGGAAGCTTGGAAGCACGTGCTGTAACGTAGTGTGCAAATAATATAACGTGGGTGGAATCCCTTTTTCTTCTTCAAAAATAGCTTCACTCATATGCACCATTAATTCTTATCCATTGTAGACCATTGAAACTCAAGCGAAAAAACTTTAATTGATTGATGGGTGAGGTGTGAAACTATTGGTCTTCCGTGATCAAATCATAAATTGTGAAGGAGACCTCTCTGCTTCATAATTGAGTATGCTTCATTCGATCCTTTGCTAAAATTGACCAAAAATCTAGACTTACTGAGCCATCTTATTTTTTATTTCTATATTGGAGTATTATTATAGCTATTATTGCTTTCTTTATTATCGGCTATATTTGTATGCGTTCGACTCACTTTTCTTTTAAAAAGACAAAGCTACATAGTGCTGATCTAAATATAAAATAAATAAGAGACTTGTGGTATATTCCTTGATTTGTGGCTTTCCTGTGATTATCGTGTTAAATACAACAATAAAATCTTTCTTTTCACCAGCTTTCATTTTTCATTTTCTTTTTAAGAAGATCAAAGCAACAACGTACTGTTGAACTTTTTGTACCGTTACAGTCAATAAGTTCTTGGCAGGCCCAACAGGTAAATCAGATTTTGACTACTTCGCCCAATCTAATAGAAATGCGTCACAACTTAAATCCATGCGGCTATATAACGAATGTTAGAGAATGTTAGTAAGCTACACAGTATTTTTTTTAAAAAAAAAATCATAACTATAACTTGTTAAATTAATTTTTTAAAAGTAAATGGGTATATATTAACGAATTTATATATAAGAGAAATCCTCTTACTCTAGAGCGAGTATAGGTTACTTACTTTACTTTAAAAAGTTATAAATATTAAATATTAATTTAATTATTAAATTATGTAACATTATTTTTATTATCATGCATGTCAAATGTTAAACAAATTAGATAAGTGTGATTTACCAAAAAAAATTAGATATTAATAAGTATATAATTTTATAGTTGTTATTTGTTTATATTTTGAAAATTGTATTGTACATTAAAGTTTAGATATTTTATGAAATATTATATTACTTTTAAAATATAAAAAAATTTGTAGACCTAATCTACTTATTAATTTTTTAAAATTAATAATTAGATTAATAAAATTTTATATCTAAAACAATTATTACACAAAAAAATAATTAAAATTTACTTTTAAAATAAATGAATTTCCTTTCTCTTCCACACCCACATACACGTAAAAAGGCACGCATAGAGATAAACACAAATGCATGTGTGTGTATTACGTGAATCTTACTTATAATATATAACAATTATTGGTATAAACAATAAAACGATTCTCTTTTTATTTCACATTAATAATTTGGACTCTACAACTCACTACATATAATAATCGCTTATTTTGAACAAAGAAAAATCCAAGCAACTATATCTCTCCAATCTCCATTATGAAAAGGTTTAAAACAAAGAAACAAGAATGGGCCAGCAGGGACCGATGAAAGTGAAATAAAAACAGAAATATGTCTCCATTGATGGAGTTATCCTCCTTAAATAGCCCAAGCCAGAAGCAAAGGGACCTCCTAATTTCACTTCTATAGGTTTTCATCAATATATGGAAATTAAAGTGAGTTTTAATTATCTAGTGGAATGACAAATTATCCAAAAGAAAAAGTGCGTAAAACAAAATACATCAACATGGGTTCACCTTTATTTGACCGTTGAACATCCTTAGCGAAAACAAAGTCCAATTATTACTATAAAGCAAACATATTCACAATATTTTAAAACCAAATCAAAGTATCATGTGGGGCTAATTAAGGTTGGAATTAAGCAATCCCACCACCTAGGATTTGGCCTAATATACGATTAAAGGTATTCAATCTGCATAGAACTTGTGATGAATGAATCTCTCACGCTGCTCACAGCCCTTTCGAGTGATATTTCTAGAGATAAACATTCCTTTAGTTCTGAGGCTATGTGGCTTATGTCAGGCCTGTGAATTGGAACTTAGGCAAGGCAAGACATGGCTGTCCCCAAAAGTTTCCATGCTGAAGTTGTGTTGTATTTTCCTCGTAACCTTGGATCAACTATTTCTTGGATATCTCCGGTTCTAAGTTTAAGATTAACCCAAGGAAGTATGTAACTAAGATTGTCAGGAGTTCCTCTTAGTGCTGGCTGACCAGTAATTAGCTCTAGTAGAATTATCCCAAAACTGTAAACATCACTCTTCTTATTTAGAGTCCCAGTGCAATAAAATCTGTGAAGGTGTCAAAAAGTAAATTAGTTTCAATATGATTTTAAACTGTCTTTAGTCATGATACTATTAACGTGTTATAATAGTAATGAATGGATAAGAAAGATAGTAAAAATCATTACAATGGTATTGTGAATTAAAATGTACATGTGTTTGTTATGATAACAATGCCAAGACTTTTGGGTATGATGTTGATGTTGGAGATTCGACTCTGAATTAGACAACGTATTTCCCTCATTTTCACGTAACCCAAATACATAATATTATTTGGACGATGATACAACAATTATATTATGTACACAACATCAGCCACCGAATATTTTTCCTATTTACTTCATATATTTAATAACATCATAATATTTTTATTATGAAACATATTTATAGATAAATTATTGATCTATAAATTCTTTTTAGTGATTGTATTTATACAATTTTTTCCTCTACCTTTAACAAGACTATCCTCCATCTAATTTACTCTCCTTATCAGGTTTTTATAGATCTTTCCAATATGTCCAAATCACCTAAGGTGAGATTTTACTATTTTTCCTATAGTAAGGACTTCCCATAACTCTCTTATGTATTTATTCTGAATTATATTGTTATGTGGTGTGCCCACTCATTCAAAGAAATTTTTCATCTCTATTACATTAACTGTGTTTTCTTGTTAACTTTTTATTGATCAATAATTAAATCCGTATAATATTGTAGGTATTATAGTTGTATATATTAATTTTTTATAAGCTTAAGTTATAACTTTTTGTGACATATAACATATAACACGCCCTCTCTCGTTCTATCCGCGCTGCTTCAATCCTGTGATTAGCACCATCCTTTGTTCCCTACAGCAAGATTACTGTAACGACCAAAATTATATATCACTGCAAATCCTTTAAAATTGTGGTTAATTAGACTAGTCAAAAATTAAGTTTTGTTCTTAGTTGATTTCTCCATGAATTGCTACTTATTTTAGTTTCAAATTATACACTTGTCATCTTCAATTTGAATATTATTAGGCCTTGGATTACACTAATTCAATTGACTCTCAAAATTTTGAATATTATACTTACTCAGGATCAACGTAACCTGGTGTGCCAGCTGGGTAAGTTGTGACATAAGTGTCACTGTCATTTGCAAAACTTTTAGACATTCCAAAGTCTGAAATCTTGGCATGCATATTTTCATCTAATAAGATGTTCGATAATTTCAAATCCCTGTGAATTATAGGGGGCTTACATCCATTATGCAAATAATCCACTCCTGTACCAATGATTAGTCACGTACTTGTTAACTATAGCTAGCTATAGCTATTGGTCAGAAAAAGAATAATTATAGAACATCCATGAAATTAGTGTTGTTTGTATACCATTTGCTGCATCCAGGGCAATTTTAAGTCTCTTAGTCCATTCCAAAACATTTGTGTTTTTATCTGCAAAAGAAGTTACTAGATTTTAATATATGTAATAAGGGTCTTAAAAGAACGATCGTGTAGAGTGTTCTGTAAGAAAATTGTCATGCTTCGAGCATATTATCATCATAGTCAACCCAAGCTTGTGTACGTTGGAAAATGACATATACTTTTGTATTATTTAAAATTAAGGGAGCTGTTTATGATCCTCCTGGTCATACAATAGATTCGTATAAAATTAATACAGCTCCTAGCTAGAAAGACTCTAGAACTATAAAATACACAAAATTCTAATTAAACATCATTGTTATATTCTTGCACGTTACTCGGAATATTATCATTATTTATCTAGTATCTAAACTTATATAAAGGTGCAGTGTGTGTTTCGTGAATATAATCTATGAATTATATACGAGTTTCATGAATCTAACAGTCTTCTAATAGAAGTTCAAAGCTTAAACTATATGTTTATTTTAGTCTGTTTTACTTGCTTGTCTTATTTCGATCTGTAGTTTACCCTTATGGCATGAATCACAAAAAATGTTTTAAATTTCTTGCAGGTTTGTAGCTTTAATATCGTAATTAAGCTGCTAGAGATGTGACAAAAGGTTCTTACTGAAGAAGAACATTCTGGATATAGACATGCTTATCAAGCAACAAACTTTCTTGCTTTCAAATGTGATGTACAATTAGAAAACTACTAATCATGAAATAGATATAGAAGAGGCCTTAATAATATATGTTGAGTGTCCTGGCCTTTCGTTTTTTCATTGATATGTCTAGAGAGAAGTGAAGTGATCACTCTGAAGATGAATGAAGTAAAATTTTATGAGTCCTTAATTTTCATCCATTTTAATTTTCAAAGAGTGAAGGAAAACTTTAGAGTCAAGTGCAAACCTGACAATTTTTGTTGGAGATTCCCCTCTGGGAGATACTCGTAAACAAGTGCTTTAGCATCACCTTCATCACAGTATCCCACTAGAGAAACTACATTTCTATGATGAACATGCATCAACAATTTTGCCTGCATTTCCAAGTTTAGGGAAATAATATGTTTTGTATTGTGACTAAAAAAAATATATTAATGTTATATAACCATTTCTATTAATAAGAAAAGAACTAATGTGATTCTTGCATCTAATTACCTCTGACTGAAACTCCTTATACCCTTGTGTTGATGGCAAAGAAAGTGTCTTTACAGCAACTCTTATGCCACCCTCTAAAGTACCTAGGTAAACCTTACCAAATCCCCCTTTTCCGATCATTGTTTCGAAATTATCAGTGATTCTCAGAATCTCTGAGTAAGAAAATACTTGATTTGTTGATTTTAATTGCTCCTCCTCGACAGAACTTGAAGAAATTACTGGACCAATGTAAATAACAACAATCATATTCTAAGTATTATTTTAAAAAATGTTTCTTTGGTTCTCCTAATCTATGAGAGCTTTGTGACCCTTAAAATTACAGTGAATATGCCTAATGTAATTAGGATATAAAAAATCTCTTAAATATTAAATTAAATTATCCTCTAAAGAAATGATCAAGCGAAAGATTGTTAAAGTTTTAAATGAAATATTTAAAAGTAAATTATTTTAAGAACGTTACAATATCGTCTTACTTATCTTTTTAATAATCCTCTTACTACTTTATAAAGTGAGTATTAAATGAAAATTTGTATTTATTTTTTATCTGACAAATATAAAAAAAATTAATATTTTCTTTATTAAGTAATTAGAAGGATTTATAAGATTAAAAGCTATGATAATTTAAAATTATTTTTTCTATCATTGATTCGTGGTCTTTTAAATTTTAACAATGTCATGGAAAAAGAGTGGTAATTTGAAATTTATACAAATAGCGAAATACAAGACTGCGTAGTGCGTGTATAGAAAGCTTGTAAAGATATAAGTGCAGATGTTGAGCAGTTCTATTAGTCAAAAGATCTTAGGTTCACACAAATTAAAGCTCATATATTTGAAAGGTCGATATAAGTGATCAACATTTCAAACAAGAGATCTATCTTCTTTTGTAATTCACTCTCGATATGGTATGATAAATTTGATGGTTAATTGGTTATTATTATAATGACCTGTAAGCTAGACAATAACTTTATAAACAACAACAACAAAAATATTATGTGACTTACCTTTTTCTTTTTTCCTAAGTCTCCGGATGACCATGGTAGATATTATAAGGACTGCAAAAAATGTTGTTACAGATACAACTAATGGAACAATAAACTTCTGATTGTTGCTTTCCCATGAGCCTGTCTGATACATATCGATATTTCCATCCAAACTGGAATATACGTAATGTCACTTATCATACATCTTATAGTAAGAGCAGAACACAGAATTGGGGTGAAATAGAACTACATATTCATGAAGAGTATTGATACCCTTTAGACAAAAATGAAGGCTAAAGAAGAAAGAATAGTAAATTCTGACCAAAATTGTCATATAAATTATGTTGTTAGTAATTGTCATACCTTTTGATTGGTATTGCTGGTTGTGGCTTATCAGAATTGTTTCTAAGTACTAGTCAATTAATAAAGGACTTTTTTAAAAATGAAACAATAAAGGGTAAAAAGCAAAGATTGGAAATAGGGTTGGCGAAGTCTTATTTGCATATTTAGATTGTTTATTAACACCTGATAAAGTTATATGTTACTATAGCCTAAGAGCAAACCTCAACTGCAAAGTGTCGTTTGACTTTGCCTTTAGACTCATAGGAATGGAACCTGAGAGCATATTCCTTGACAAATTACTGCAAAGACGGTGTGATGTGTTAAATATATTAGGAGAGTGAGACATGAAAAATTTCTTGTGGCAATGCTCTATTGTCACAACTTACAGAATTTTTAATCTTGGTAGTTCTGCAAAATATTCTGGCACCTCTCCTATCAGTTGGTTGTTTGACAAATCTCTGCAACATAATAATAAGTGTTTTAGTTTTTGACAACTTAAGCTTTTCACAACCTCTATAATGTGTCTCCTACAGAGTGCTGGAGTACATTGATATTGAAGCCCAAATTTCAGTGAAAATAATAGAAAAAACTTACAAAATTTCTAAATATGTGAGGTTGGAGAATGAGATGTCTATCTCCCCTGACAATTTGCTTGAACTCAAGTTTCTGCTTGAATTTCAAGAAGAATAGAAATTTTTCCATTAAAAAAATAAAAAGATGAAAAAAGGGAATATGAGTTCAGTGAACTATCTCATTTTTATAATTTAATTCTGTGGGAAGGCAGGTTTACGATTTAGTTATTAGCAACCAATGCAGTACGTAACCAATTAAGTAAATTTAATTTCTTAAAAATAACCTTGGATAGTTGGAGAATATCAATACTTACAATGAAATGATTCTTGGAGTGTCCCCATTGCTGCAAGTCAGACCTTCCCATGTAAAATTCTTCGGCTCACAAGGGTCTCCTTGCCAATTCATTCTAGAGATCTTATAAAAATCTTTGATGTTCCACATAGCATCAACTGTTAATAGTAGTAACTAGAATATTAGGAATGGGATCATGAACTTTAGAACTAAACAAATTGATATTAGCTGAGCACAGAATGACTTAGAATGCTTAAAAACAAGACAAAATAAAAGGACTGATATTAGATATTATTAAAAAAGGGTGTATTTAGATAACAACTCAATTAAACACTCATACAATAAATTATTATCATATAAGAGGATTATACTATACATTATTTTGATAAATTATATAAAACAGCTTATTCAAATAATTTGAAAAAAAAAAATCTTATTAGTTATTTTTATAAGCTCGTATATTTATTTGTATAGGCTACATTGATTTTACTTTTCTTCCCTTTCATGTCATAATATGTTACTTACTGATTTGAGAACATCCAAATCCATATTATGTGCATCATATTAACGAGAAAGGTAACATTGAAGACAATTAAAGAAACTTACCATCGTCTTGTTGAGTGGCAGAATCTGACTGAGGCACTACTCTATAAATCTCAAGAGCATTAAGCATGGCAGGTAAATCAGAATAAGAGATTGCTTCAATCAATATCTTATAAATGCCCATCCCTTGTTTTATAGGCAGAATAACGCTATTGGGCTTCCAATATGAAAGAGTAAGGGGTTGTGTGACATCATCATCAAAACCATTAATAGTAATATTCAATATCCGGTTCATTTTATTTGCCCGGTCCTTAAAGTCAAAAAAATGAAGATACACATAATATTCAGAATCTGCGTCATAATTCATTGTATATTCTAACGAGTCGGATAAGTTTAATGCCTCCACTGCAGTGCTCAAAACTTCTGAAGGCAGTTTATAAGGATCAACAAGTTTATCCAAATCAATAGCTGATGATGTTTTCTTTGGATTCTCGTTATATTCTGTTCGTACTTGCCAAGACCTCCCATATACATCATCCATGTACCTACCATAATATTGATTAGCTTTTTAGCTTTAACATAATAATCTCTTATTATCATAAAATCAAGGTATATTGTGACTGAAAATAAAATCATGCAAAATTTCATCTAATTCTGGGTACATTATGGTGGATTGTTTAATTTTTTTCTAATGCAGCAGCAGCAACAACAACAATAATAATAATAATTAACATTGACAACCCATCTAGTTTTAAAAATTATGACAATTCGTCTCCTCAAGTTAGCATAGTTGATTAATTTGCAAAACCTGAATTGACAAGTTTAATTCTTTGCAATGTATTTTACTTCTTTCTCAATATTCTTTTGTACTGGTAAGGTTTACTGCTACTCTATTTATAAACCTCAAAAAGAGTTAAATATGATATTTTTTTTTACTGTAAATATATTTAAATTCAACTTTATTTCTTTGTTTTTATTATTTTAATCTTCATAAATTTTAAAAATTTTTAAAAACAAATTCTTTTACTGTTTATTAATGACATAATTATTAAATAAGTGTTGATACTTGTTACATCATCATTAATAGATGAAAGAGATTGTTTTAAAAAGTAATATTTATAAAGTTCAAAATTTGAAAAATAAAAGACTCATATTAAATATAACTATATTTAAATCTTTTATTAAAAAGAAAATAAACATACTTATACCTATGTTAATCTTCAATACTTATTGAAGAAATTTTAGCAAATGAGCAATATTTATATCTCCTCCCTATTATGGAAATGCATTTTTATTGATGATAAACAGACAAGGAATAGGTCTTATATTTGAAACCAAAATGATTCAGTATCTAAGCGAATAAACAAGTGATCAGCCTTAAATTTTACGGATTTATGTATTTCATGAGATTAAATTTATATATTAAACTAAACTATAATAATATTCGTATAATATACGAAAAATCTATAAGTTTAATTTTAATTTTGTGACAACGATTCGACCTCTCTCTTGGTAATTTACCAATATTAGATAAATAGGATTCCAGGATAATAAGAAGCTTCGAAATATCTTCTGTCTTTTTTCGCTGCAGAATTAGGGGATGATAAATTATGATTGTCTCATTTTCCTTTTCGATGTGAGTCTCGTATAAATTTAAAATTAGGTTATTGCTAGTATAATTCTATTAATTTAAATTATTGTATGCAATAAATTAATTTAATTATATCATAAATATTATAACAGTATTTTTTCAGAATTTCATTCATAAAATTAATATAAATATGCATATATTATTTTTCTCTCAAATTTATATCTGTATATGTTTGCATGTGTTATAATATTTAATGTAAAATATTTGTTCATCAATGTTTTTCAAATTAGTTTAAATTAGTTTTAAAATGCCTTTTTGTTTGGAGAAAAAAGAGAATATTACAATGTGTTTTTCTTCTTTATTATCATTGAAAATTGGTGAAAGAATGGCGTATATTAAAACTAGTATGAAAATAACATTCATTAATGTGCATTTGTGTAGGTGAAGACGAATATTTCTCCCACCAGTAGATCTTGAGCCATTAGATTTATACTCATATATTGAACCGAATTGGACGCAAGATTGACTTAGAGAAAGGAATATTAGAAGGAGCAATGTGATTGAGATTGAATCCCAAAGGTACTATTAACCGGTCAAATAACTCATTTATCAAACTGGGTCTGTATTAAAGATGGTATAAACTAACCATAAATTAGGATAACTTGAGAAAATACTATCATTATCATCATTATTAGTAAAATTATTTGAATACTAATTTATTAATTTATTGAACAATAATTCAATATTTCAATTGATTATTGAGTGAAGCTATACATATATGCATATACATATGTATACACAGAAAATAAAGCGTTGGCCTTGAGTAGTGTTAAATTTAAACATTTCTATTATTTAATAATTTTGTATATAATATAAGTTTCATTAATTTAATCATTAGTTTAAATATTTTTATTAAGTAAATTAAATTTATAAAAAAATTAATAGTTACTTTATCACATTATTTTAATGTATAATTTATATCAATTGTTAGATAATATATATACAAATGTTTAAATTATGCTAAATTTAATATATATGATTATTAGATTAGTAAATCTTTCATTAAATGAAAAGTTAAATGGTATATCTAAATTTAATCTACGGGTAAACAGATTTTATATATATATATATATATATATATATATATAAGAAAGAGAGAGAGAGAGGTGGTTTTAAGGTAAATTACCTGATGAAGTAATTGTTGTCTGGAGACACACCAAGGTTAATTCGCGTGAGAAGATCTAGTGTTAATAAAGTGGATGAAGTTTGATAAACAGAAGTTTCCAAAGGAGAAAGTTCCAATAATGAAATGAAAGGAACCCCATGGTCGATGTTTACGAGACAGAAATCGATTGTCGCTGTTGAGGAAAAATGAATAGCTTCGATTCGAATAACGGGATGAGGCTCCTGAGTTAGGTTTATTCTCTTTAAGAAATCGACACCGAGATGCAAATCAAAAATTGGTGGTGTCTCTTTGTTGTCATAGTTTCCATATGCAAGGTATGCCCTCATCATATATTTCTTGTTCTTTCCCTGTTTAAGTTCCAAGGTATAGCAATTCCTTTTCCCATCTGGAAAGCTTCTCAATGTGTTTAGCTGCTTCTCAATCTGACTTACATACTCAAAGTTGTAATTCCAAGATACATTGTAAATTTTACCAAATTGAATTTCATCTGCTTGATATTGCATGTTGGTCGTCCTGTCAATGTAACTCTCATTTACCCCACAATCAATGCTTACCAGATCTACAAATGACAATATATTGCATTAAAAAAAACATGATTTAGTTTAGACCCATCATAAAAGGCCTATGTGATAAATACGAAATTACTCTTAATCCAAATCAAATTAATCATAGCCCTCTGCCTCGTATTTTCTGTCACAGACAGCCATCATCTTCCCTTTACTTTAATCCATCAATTACCACAAGCATTTGAAGTTATATAATTATATGTGTAAACCATACAATTAACAATAGTAATAATATATGATAAGATAAAACTTATATTATAAAATTTGATGTTACCAAATCTTCTATAATCTTTCCTTATCATATACGATGAGCTAAACTGGAAAAGTTAGAGTCATCCACTCCTCATAGATATATATCTGAAAAACCAAATTTTAATCCTCCTTGAATTTAAGTGTATATGTTTTTTTCTTAGACCATAAATATATTTCATTAAAAATAATCATCTAATATAGCTGCATACTCCAATTTTGAGTTTAAAAATATGATTAAAGTGAAATAATTCTGTATTTGTTAACTCATGTACTCAGTGATAATAATATATTACATATACATTAAATTTTAATTCATATTAGTAAAGTATTTATTTTATTTTATTATGTTGTACAACTTATTTTAAAGGTGTTAAATTGTTAAAGAAACAGTTTCAAAATTTGTCTCCCAATATTTGGTCCCAAAAGCTTCCCATACAGATCCATACCTGAGTGATCAATATTAGCAAGCTTCCTGTCACGACGTTCATTGGTTTCCCCAAGAATAACAATTGTTGAGGAAGCACAAAGTGCTAAAACCAGAATCCATGGCATGGCTCTCTCAATATTTCACACTTTAAAATGGAGAAAGAAAGGAGAATAAGTTGATGTCAACTCGAGCAGGAACTACTACTTGAAAGAAAGACGAGTACTTGTCTAGATAGCCGCGAACGTGTCAATATATATAAATACTAAATAATAGCTAATTAAAGAGGTCGGTCGGCCAACTAAATTGCTGTAAATATCTCAATGTTTTGTTAACGGGTTTTAAAATATTCATAAAAAATAAAAAATATATATATAATTAATGATGTTGCAGAAAAAAAATAAAAGAGAAATCAAAATATACATAGGTATTCATTTTAAAATTTGTCTAGTTGTAGTGGAAATTGAACATCCAATTTTATTTTCGATTAAACAAAAATACAATAAATGACAAAAATATTTTATGTAAAATTATTTTAAATAAATTTTTTAACAAATTTTGTAAATTAAAAAAGGTGAAATATAGAGATTAAAAAATGTTAAATATAAAAGTTAAAAAAAGAGTATTAAATATAAAAAGATGGTGAAAAGAAGATTAAGAAAGAATATATAAAATTCGTTTAAATAAAAAAATTTACTTAAATTATAAAAAAAAATTAAACTAATTTTACATAAAAAAAATTTAAATAAAAATAGATTTGTTTAACTAAAAATAAAAATAAATTTTTTATACAAAATTAGTTTAAAGGAATTTTTATGATTTAAAAAAAAATTTATTTAAGTAAATTTTACATATTTTTTATCAATCTTCTTTTCTCTTTCTTTTCATGTTTAATATTTTTTTCTCAATCTTTATATTCAACATTCTTTAATATTTATATTTCACCTTCTTTAATCTGTAAAATTCATTTAAATTAAAAAATTTGCTTAAACTAATTTTACATAAAATATTTTTATCATTTATTACATATTTGTTTAAACAAAAATGAAATTAAATGTTCAATTTCCACTACAACTAGACAAATTTTAAAATGAATATATATGTATATTTTGATTTCTCTTTTATTTTTTTCTGCAACATCATTAACTATATTTTTTTTTCGTTTTTTATGAATATTTTAAAACACGTTAACAAAACTTTGAGATATTTACAGCAATTTAGTTGGCCTACCTACCTCTTTGAAAAAATAAAACTAAATATTCAGTTCTGCTACGAACTTAAGGGAAATCTGGATCCAAGTATCGCTGTTAAAATTATATCCAAAAGGAAAAGGTGGTGCCAATTGTATTTATTAAAGTATAAGTTATTATTTTTTTATTCGACGATTCTTATAAACCCAGATCATAGGATTAATCAGGCGAACCAATCTCGCTAGGATTTAATTACGAGAAAGAAATTTATGAAATTGAGTGGCTAAAAGTATTTTCAGCACTAAGTACGTGATCTACAGCCAATAACACGTCAATAGCTAAGAAAACGATTTAAGATCAAATAATTCTTTAAGAAGAAAATAGTTAGAAAAAATTTTCAACTAATTGTTTTAAAATTAAGAAATGTGAAATGTGAAATATATTTTTGGTCTCTCTTTATTTTATACATTAATTTTAGTTTTAAATTTTAATTCCTATTCTTTTACAATTTCAACACTTTTAATTTTTAACCATGACTTGGTCAATTAAAATATTTAATATATCAATTTTTATTATTTATTATATGACATCGGTGAAGAGAAAACAAAAATACTAAACTTAAAAAATTTGACACTGATGCTGTTCTAAATTGACGCGTTAATCTCAGCCTCACTACATTTATGATGGAATTGAGTTCGTACACGCATTAGCCTAAAAACACCATACTATTATTACATTTTTAATTTAAATAAAAGGAAAATTGGTAGAAAGAGAGATAATATATCTTCTGATTTATGACGAAACAATTAGTGCAATGACTTTTCAGGGATTTAACATTTAAGAACGTTGACTGTAAGTCTTTGTAAATTGACTTATATCCACTAAGGACCCAAAATTATTTTTGTGGTAGCCAATGAATTCATGCAAATTTGACGCATTCTTTAGTTTTAAACTTTCAATTCTAGCCACTGGGAGATTTTTTGTTATTGTTATTCTTTATTAACCATGGTTGATGCCACGATTTATCATTGTTGTTGTTTAAAATGGAATTATGGAATTTTTACCAGTTCCCATATCTATTGTCACAATTCAACATCGCAATATATGGCAAAAATGTATTTTAAAAAAGATATTAACACTCTGTAACATCTATTTAAATAATGATTATCTCAAATTAATTGTATAAATTTATTTTAATTTAAAAAAATATTTATTTAACCCTAAATATTAAGTATTTCTATTTTTATTTTTAAAGAAAGAAAAATTTATTTATTAAAATATTAATTGGTAATTTTAGAAAAAGAAAATTATTATGAAATTTGTTTTAACTGGACAGGTCCATGCTCTTATGTATTTTTTGTGATAAATTCAAGGTCACATAGTTCCTTGGTTGATTAAAATTAAATTTAGTAAAAACAGTTATTCTAAGATTAAAATTATTTTAATAAGATTATAATATTTAGGGTACAAGATAATGCAATTATATATGTATCTTACAATAAACAATACAGAAACTGAAGATCACACAACTATATTGCAGATCATCAAAAAATTATTTTTATTTGTAAATAAAATATTTGAGATATTTAAATTATGATTTATATTGAAAGAGAATTTAAAATAGTGCAAGATATACATAAATATCTTACAATTTGTTAGGAATAAAAGGTAATGTAAATTACATATTAATGTTGCAAAAAATTGTATAATAAAATAAAGAAATTTTTTTTTATTTAATTTATCAAAATTAGAAATATGACTTAAGAAAAACTTAAATATAAAATTAATTTTATTTAGTGAAAGGAATAAATATATTTAAATTAATTAAAGAAGATAATTATTTAATATAAAGATTAAAACTTCATTTGATAAATTTATATTACATATAACCTAAGATAACATTAGTACACAAAAATTGAAGGAGTGTAGTGGCGAACGATAAAATTCTAACAACAGCACGCAGATGGTGGTAGCTAGTGGCGGCTCGCAGTGGTTAGCGGCAACTAATGACAGTAATTTATATTTTTTAAAGCATGATATTTATTTGATATATGAAATGTGCATTTAAAGTATCAATATATCATAAAATAAAAGAAAGTATAGAATACATAATAAAACTTATTTGAGACCTTAATCTTTGCTTTGTTTCTTTTCTCTTTCCTTTTCTTTTCTTTCTCCCCTTCCCCTCAAAATTTGTCCTGCCTCTTATTTGATTTCCTCTCTTTGTTTTTTATATTCTTAGAATTAGAAAAAATTCAAATTTCTTATCTAAATTTTATTGTCATGTTAAAAGAATGCATAATTATAAATTTTTCTATTTTGTTAAAACAAACTTTAATTTTCATAAAACATTTTATTTTTATTTTATTTTTGTAATTAAATTGAGAGTTTTTCAAAAAAAAACAATCAAAGATTTTTAAACAAAATTGCAATGTTCACCGCATTGAATTTATTCAAACTATTTCTTAACTATGTTTCAGATTTCTTTTCCCTTATTATTGCATGTTTTAATTCTTATGCATGTTTTAGTTCTTATGGTGGTGATTTTATTTCTCTCTCTACCCTCATCAACATTATTGTCACTTATTTCTAACATATCTAAAAAATTATAATTGAAATCGTTATCATGTAATAAATTAATATCTCCAATAAAGCACTCTAAAAATATAACTAACAAAATCTTGTAATATCAAACAATTATATAATTATAAAATTGATTAATTTTGTCAAAAGTAACACGTGTTACTTTCCTGCGTGATAGGTCTTATCAGTTAAAAGCCACTCTCTTACTTTGTCACATGTCACTTCCTTATGGTAACGCTATTCATTGTGAAATTTGCAAAACGTGTATTGTTCATTTTGTCCATTCTGATATATTGTTACGAAATGGTGTTATTTTGATATTTTGTTACTAATTTTTGCAGATAAAATAAAATTGTTGAAATAAAGTGAACCTTCATCTAAGTTCCACATATAAAAAACTTGAAAAAGAGAGAAAAATATATAAAAGTTTATTTTTGTATTTATTTATCAAAATAACATGTCATTTTTTTAGATGTATTAGGAATTTAGGTAATTATATGTCAAATAAAAATTTGTAATTTTATCTGTTCCAAAATAGTAAAAGCCAGGATTTATAATTTTGTTTCTCTAAAAATTGTAGGTGAAATTTTATCCTATAAAAAATTACAAAATAATAAAACTATGTTAGAAATTCATGAATGTGAGTAAACAATGTCAAATCACCTAATATTTTGTATGTTTTTTTTTTCTCTTTTTTATTTTCTTATTTTTGTGAGTAGTTTTAGGTACAAAGAAGGTAGAAAATGACTCTCTCTCTCTCTCTCTCTCTCTCCGCCCAATATAGTGTGGTTAGGGATTGAAATTGAGGTCATCTAATGATTTGGTCCGGTAGGGGAAGGTCAAGATACAATATGCAAGTCATGAGATGAGGCGATATGGGATCTTCATAACGAAAATGAGGTAAATGTCATTATGACTATAACTGGGATCAATATTCATTTCTACATTTTCCTCAACTAATACACCAAAACTTGTCTTTTTCTCCTTCAACTGTTGACTTAAATCTTGGTCAATTTCTTCATAAGGGCACAAGACTTTCCGGTCATGAGAATTAACTTGCAACAAAGAGTTTGAGATGATGATGATGGATACCATTTTTAAGTAACACACTGAAGAGATTCACAGTCACATACATATAGCAGATGCTTGATTTAAAAAAATCAATCATAATCCATTTGTAATTAGCCCCAAGTAACAACTCTTCAATTATGCATATCAGCATTTCCCCATCCAGGGGTGCATCCATGATAAGCATCAACAAATAGAATTCATCCTAGATTCTCCAAGCATTGAGTAAAACTATTAAGAGCCCTCTATGTTTAAGAAATAAAGCTGAGTTTAAACATTTTTCTATGCACAAACTTTCGTCCAATATCAAGTTATCTAAATAGGAAATTATAAAAAAAAATCAAAATGAGTTAATTCCGTTAAAAATGGAGATACAAAAAGGCCTTAATGTGTTAAGAAATCTCATAAGAAAACGACATCTATATGAGCTTCTTCTTCTGAAAGAAGCGCTTCAGATGCCACAGTTGCAACGCCGAAACCAAAATGCAGACACCAAGAGACATTATGCCAAACCAAGCAACTCTACCATTTGTTCTTTCACTGACTTCCCTCATCCTCGCTTCCCTATAGCAAAGTGAAAAACAAAAAGGAATTTCTGAAATGCACTAATCAACCTCAAGCATACACAAAATTCTCATTTCTCGTAGGATGGTCACATATATTGTAGGTGTAATGTGATGCATATTTAAGTAGTTGAAACTAAAGAACCCAAGTTCATAGATGCTTCACATTAACAGTGAGAAACTAAGAAGGCACCATGATAAATCAAATTAAAATAAAAGGGTATAGATAGTAGTATTTACTTATCCTTCAAATAAATTAGATAGCCGTGGATGGCTTCCACTGCCCCTTCAAGTTTCCTGAGCTCAAGTTCAACACCCTTAAACCAAAGCCGAAAAATTTAATAAATTAATAATAATTAAAATTTAAAATAAACTACAAACGTGTATAAATTCCATTTCTATTTTGGTAATGCAACGACAGAACATGAATGTAATTCATTGATTTACCTCAATTTTTTCTTTCTTTGCAACTGATTCCCAATCCTTGGCATAAACTCCAGTTTTCCATTCAAGGCTCAAAGTTGCTTCTTCTTGATGTTTACCATCCATCCAAAAGCACGCCACGTAGGTCCCGCTCTCGGCTGTGGTAAATGCAAACTGACCTTGGGTTACATTTTCATTATGGTGAAGGTTATTTCCATACGGAGATGTTACCTGGGAAAATAAACAAATTTAACATAAGCAGATCATCAATATGAATCCCTCAAAATTACATTACCCCTTAACGTCAATATACTTATGACAAAACTGACAAAACTCAAATGTAGTATTACAGATATTTTTTATGTCGTTATCTAATTAAAATTAAAATTTGTCCATATAGTTATTTCAGAGCATTAGAAATTAAGAAAAGGAAGATCTCAAATCTGCAACAAGGTATGTTCCAACCACAAATCAGCTCAGAATTTGTATAATTAAAAGACAAACAACCCTTCTACGGTTCATCATAGACAATTAGTCATTTGACTAAGTACCCCGTTAGTGATCAATATCTTTGACTGCCCATAAGTTAAACCCAAATTTACCAATGGTACCAAAAAAATAAGCAGATTTCTCCGTTCGTAGAATAATTTAAAAAAATAACAAAAAAAATGAAAGACTTCGCCTACTATCTAATTGACCAACATGAATGCATAAGGAATCAAACAAGAGAAATAAAAAAACACATGAAATTTTCTTATGGGTTGGGAAGATCAATGAGGCATACCTTGAGAGAAATTGTATGAAGCTGTGGACCCTCATCGGTGACAGCATAGTAATCAGCTAAAACGACCACGTTTGACTGGATTTCCTCGGAGACACACTTGGTTCCCGAAGTGGGTATGGTTAACCACACAGCCGTTGCTTGTGGAAACACATGAGAAAGAGTGAACAACAACAACAGCAGAGTCATTCCAGTGCCAGACCTTAAGTCTATCATGTCCCGAAACATTAGCAAAGGTTAACCTTGGAATCAAACACTGTCTTATTATGGGGATCAGATCTACATACAATTGATGTTGAATTGAGTTGTCTCTTGCGTTTGGATGAGGAAAAGTTCACTGTTTTACTTTTAGGGGAGACGCTGGGTCACGGGTAGGTTGGGAAGTTAAGTTAGTGTTTGAAAAAAAGGACAAGGTGCGTGCGTGTGTAATAGGAGACTGGGTGGTGGTGGTGACGCATTTGTAGCCTACATGGCTTGGCATTGACCAATCACGTTCGTGATGCAGAGTCCATGTAAGGAAAATGTGCCACACAAAGTCACAAACAATGTTCCACGCGCCTTTTTGACATTAAAGCCACAAATTCAAGTAAAATAGATAGAAAAAGGATTTACTTTGTGCATAATAAGGCTCAAGGAAGACAAACCAAACCTGAAAACCCAAGAGGGACATCACAAATCACTCACTTTTAGATTTTGTAGCGGCAAAATATTTTGAGAGTTATGTAGCTTCCGACTTCCACGGCTTCGGCAATTTTAATTTAATGAGGCTTAAATATATTTTCACTCTTTACATTTTAGTGAATTTTTTATTTTAGTCTTTTTAAATTAATTTTTTATTTTGATTTCTACATTTTAGCAAATTATTTTTCTAAAATCAAAAATTGATATTTAACAAGATTTTAGTAAACTAAATCACTGATATGAACTGAAAACATAAATTTGTAAAACATAAAGATTAAAATAAAATATATATATATATATATATATAGTTAAAGAAACTAAAATTAAAAATTTATATTTTTCCCCTTCTCAGAGTAACTTACAGTAAATCAAAAGCTGAAATAATTTATTTCTCTTATAAATTAAAAATAAAAAAAAATTAGTATAAAAAATGATAAAAATTTCTCTTATAAATTAAAAATAATTTATTTCTTTAAATTTTATAAAATTTAAATAAGAGAATTTCTTAAACTTTTAAAAAAATATAAAAAATACAAATTATTTTTAATTTTTGAAATAATTTGTATTACTTCTTATACTATTTTGTTCATTGATAAAGATTTTTGAAAAGTTTACTCAAACAAAATATATAGGCAAAATTAGTCTTTTTGTCCCTTAACTTTATGGTAAAATTTATTTTAGTCTTCTAACTTTTTTTAATTCAATTTGGTAGTCAAAGTTTTATTTTATTTTTTTTAAGTTAGTCCTTTCTATTAGCTTTGTTACATAACTTAACAGAAATGCCTTAAGTGACGCTGACATGGCTTAATGTCATTTTTTTAATTCAATATGAATTTTTTTTTATTTAAAAATAGTAAGATTTGTCTAGATGGCGCTGACTCCCCACTTCTCCTGCTCTCTCCTCTTTCCTCCTCCCTCTACAACTCCTTTTTTCCTCATCTTACTATTGCAACTCCTCTTTCTTCATCCCACTATTGCAACTCCTCTACCCTTTTTTTACTCCAAACCCATCAGCCTTGTGTCCTCCTCATGCAATCTCAATTTTTCTCCTTCTTGCAGCCTCCTCTCTTCCCCTTCCTCCTCTTATAGCTTTCTCACCCTTTCTCCCAACCCACCAACCTATAGCCTTGATTTCCCCTTCCTTTAGCCTCATTTTCCCTTTCCTCAACTTCCTCTCTCCCCTCCCACAACGTCCCTCCTCCTCTCTTGTTCTCCTTCAATTCTTCTCAAACCCACCAGCCATTTTTTCCCCTCTCACAGCCCCTGTTTCTCCTTCACACAGTCCCCTCTCTTTCTCTTCCTTCTTTTGTAGTTCCTTCACCCTTTCCCTCTCCCAACCCACTAGACATTGTTGTCTAAGCTATTGTTTGTTAATACACAAATTGTTACTCTCCATACACCATTCTCATCATCACATCATCCATTCCCCTTTCTGTTCAACAAAAGATGAGAACCCCTAATCCAAAACACTTAAATTGCAACATGAAAAAACACAAAGTAAATTCCAATCACAAGGAAAAAAAACACAAATTGTTGTAGAACTAAAAACTTTTAAATTGTACCAACTCGTGTGAGCTAAAAAAACACCAAATTCCTTAAAAAAAACTTCAATTTTGGCACATCCATGTGCACTCACAAGCCCCAACTCACGGAAAAAGAGAACACACTCTACTAAACCCAATGTTTCAAAGTTAAAACAACACACTTTGAGAATAAAAAGAACATTTTGACACCACCCTAGATGTTCCAATAAAAAAAATTAAAAATATAAACACAAAAATTCAAGCTCAAACAAGATCAAGAATTTTTTTTTCTTTTTCCTTCTCTCAATTTCCCAATAATTTTTCAATTCTCTTGCAGTTGATTTTGTATTTTGGTTCCTTTATGATCATAGATTGTTTGATCCTAATTAAATTTTTGTGGGCAACACAAAATTAGAAATTTGAATTGTTTGTGGCACTCATGGAAGAGAGAAGTACTAAAATATTTTACTTTGGGTGAAGGGAAAAGGGCTGCGGGAAGGAGAAATGGAAGCTTGGGAGAGAGAGACAAAGTTAGTGGATTTGGGGAGAAAGAGGTGGGGGAGCTACAACAGAAGGAGGAAGGGGAAACGAAGGAGTCAGTGCCACCTGGATAATTTTTTAAATAAAAAATTACATGTTGGATTACATAAACGGCGTTAGGCCATATCAGTGCCACCTAGGACATCTCTGTTATGCCATGTAACAGAGTTAATGGAAAAGACTAACTTGAAAAAAAAAAACTTTGAGGACTAAATTAAATAAAGAAAAGGTTAGAGGACTAAGTGGATTTTACCTTAAAATTAAGGAAAGAAAAGACTAATTTTGTCAAATATATATGATGTAAAGATTTTAAAAAGGCTTGATTTGAAGTTAGAATTTGAAAAATGTAAAATGTATTCATTCAAATTAATTTAAAATCAATCAAGATAGTTCTTTTTTGAGAAACTAAAATTGAACTAGTGTGGAATTTGAACAATTTGCAGAAGATTGTACATCTAAAATTGATTATTGTATATATAAACAATTAGCATAGTTCTTTTATGGATCAATATCTATGCATATAAATTTTTTTAAGTGTAGATATAATGCTAATTTAAAATGATATATATTAAATAAGTAAAGAAAAAAAAAACCTCAAAGATAGGAAAATGAGACTAGACTTGCAGACCCATTTTTATGATTAAAAGAAAAAAAAATTAACCAAACCATTATCTCTACTTGTTAAGCATCAGCACATTTTAATGTTGATTACATAATTGTGTTTAAATATAATAAAAATTAACTTAATACAACAAAATATTTGATAAATATAAAAATATATGAAAATATATTTTTATGATCTGTATCATAAACATATTTAGTGAAGATAAAAATATAAAATTTGTAATTGAATATGGTAAAAGATTAATTAACTAAAATATTATTTTATTATATTAATTTTTAATTTAATATATTATATAATATAAAAAAATATTTAATTATAATTAGTTCAATAAACTATAAATTAATACCTATACAATTTGATGATTGCTTAAAAAAATAATTGTAATCTATCTATTCACTTGTTTTGTTCTTTCACTTTTTTAACTACTTAACATTATGTATGTTATGCTTGTTAAAATAAATTGAAAGCTACGTGCTTTTAGCTTTTAACTGTCAAATATGGATTTCTAATTAAAAGTTTACAGTTGGGTAAATAATTTATGAAATTAAGTTATTTAGCAAACTAATTGTAACTGATTTATGTTTTATAATTTAAAAGGATATATAATACTATATTTATATAATATTAAAATTAAATAATATTATTAATTTAAACAATAGCTTTAATTTATTTTAAAATTTATTATTTTTTACATATTATATCAACAAATATTACACAAATTGATTAAAATAATTTATTTCTTAATTTTTAAAGTACTATTTATCTAATTTATTTTTTATAATAAAATATATTATTAACTATTAATAATAAAAAGATAAAAGAAATAAAAAGAAAAAGACTATTGAAAAGATTAAAAAAAATCAAAATAATAATAAAATTAACATACTAAATTTTAATTGTGTAAATTATAAGTTGTCTTACTGAAAAAATGAAAGATAAGAATATAATAAAAATATTGACAACTAGCTTTTGAAAGCTAAAAACTTATTGACCATGAGCTTATAAATAAGTTACAAGTTATCTTTATCAAACATAGTCTTACATAATGTGTTGTTAAAAATAATTTTGGTAGCTAAAGATAAAACTTAGTCAATGGTATTTCTAGCAAGTACTTCAACAAGAACCCATCTCACATGGGTTTTTTTTTTTTTTCTCTTCTATGAAACTTCTTATTCATGTATAACAAGTTAATTTTTTCTTTTCTTTTATGAAGTTTCTTACTCATATATAATAAATTTGTCTTTTATTGAAAATATACTTTTTATTTTTCTTCTACTTAATTATTTCTCTTTTTATCATTTATTTTATCTTTACTTTTTTATTATATTTGACTCATTTCTTCTCTTATTTTAAACTCATTGAAGGAAAAAAAAAAACAGAGAGAGAGAGAAACATGATTCGCTTATTCTACAGAAAAGTTTAATATTTGTATTTAATTTTATTATTTTTAATATTTAAAAGGACTATTAAATTATGTTTAATATTAACCATGCTTGCTTGATCTTTATTGTATATTTATTATGCATTGTTATAATACTTTTTATATTTAGCTCCACTTAATTATAAGTGTTATTAGACTTTCTTAGTCTATAGAAAACAAATATATTATTTATTTTTATGCATTAGTGTAATTTTTTTACTCTTCTTTATATAAATAATTATATCTTTGTATATATGTTATTTTATTCCACAATTAACAAAGGAACATGTTAAAATTAAAATCATTTTGATTCAAAAACTTTTTTCGAGAAAGAAAGACAACCTTCTTTCAAGAAAAGGAGAGTGAGAAGTGTTACTAGGGTTCTCATCCTAGTAGGTCAAAAAGTGTCTAGTTCAGCAAGATCAGAGAGACAAGATTGGGAAGGCGAGAAAAGGAACTACAGTTATGGGTTCTGGATCTAGGTTTTTGGTCTAGAGGGAGTGTGGAAGGATGGAATGGCAAGAGGCAGAGAAACGTTGGAAAGAAGAACTAGATCTGGTAGATTGAAGCATAAAAAAGATAAAGACAGGGCTAAAGGACTCCTTGGA